TTTCCTTGCCAGTGGCCCTTGTTGCCAAGGTCTTCTCTCCTCCCAGGAGCTGGAAGGTTGAAGCAGGAGGATCTTGGAGAGTTCAAGGACAGCCTGATCTACATAGTGTTCCAGGACATCCAGGGTTACAAAGAAACCCCGTCAATTAATGACGTGGAGAGCAACCGAGGAAGATACACAGCGAGGACCTCTGGCCTCCACACACCTGCACGCCCATGAATACGTTGTTTGGTTTTTGAGATGGGGTCTATTATGTAGCTCTGGCTGGCCTGGAGTGTGATATGTAGACCTGGCTGGCCTCAAACTCACAGAGATCTACCTGCCCTCTGCCTTGTGAGTGCTAGGATTAGAGTTGCACTATCGTACTCACAATAGTTTTTAAAAGTACAAGACCAATCAAGCCGCCACAGACAGGGCCCGCAGAATGATCTCGTTGTTACCACGCCCTAGCAAGCGTACAAAGCTATCTAGACCTTAGTGTCGGCTTTAAACACCATTGGTACAGCTAATCTCCGCTCAAGAGACAAGCACAGTGAAGGAAGGGGACATTTTTGTAGCACACACCTGAAGTGTTTCCTTCCACCTGTGGCCGCAGGATTGGGGATCTGTGTTACAGAGTATCTGACCCTTTGATGGCTCTGTCTTTGTTCACACAGCAAGGATTCATCTTGGAGCCATGACAACAAATAGAAGAGCTCGGATGGTCCTACGATGATTTTACTACCATCTGGTCATAGTAATGGTTAAAACAATTTTCAGGAATCTAGACTCACCTGGAAGACAGGCCGCTGAGCACATCTGTGAAGAATTTTCTTGACTAGGTAAACATGAAACTGTTTTTAAAAGCTGATTTAAAACATTTAAAAATTTTTATGTATGCATGGTCTGTCTGTCTGTCTGTCTGTGTACCATGTGCATGCCTGGTACCCTTGGAAACAGAAGAAGCCAATAAATCCCCTGGAACTACAGTTATAGATGGCTGTGACTCACCAGGTAGGTGTTGGGAACCAAATCCTGGTCTTCTGGAAGATCAACCAGTGCTCTTAAACACCGAGCCATCTCTCTAACTACTAAAGAGTAATTTTGAAGTTTCTGAACTAATTAATTAATGTTATAGAACACGTATGGATGTCAGAGGGCAACTTACATACGCCGGTCCTCTCCTTCCACCTCGTGGGTTCTGAGAATCAAACTCAAACTGTCAGGCCTGGCATTTTTACCCACTGAGCCTAGAAGAGGCTGCCCCTTTGCTATGTTTTATGTCTGTATTTGCTTCACTTTCTCACACTTAATTCAGGTGTGTTAAAATAAATGTTTTGGGCCATCGGGCTTGCTTGGCAGGCAAAAAGTACCTGGCACCTATGCAGAGAACCAACTGACTCCCAAAAGTTGTCCTCACCTCACACAAGCAAACATTCTCTTGTACTGGCAAACACATGGACAATAAAGTATTTAAATGTAATATTTTAGCCCTGGGGTGAAGGTTGGGGGAGAAGAGCCATTTCTCGCCGTTTCTCTGAGTAAGAGACCCTGGGCTGTAACAGACACTGCCCCTTCCTACCTGTGCTTTCTGCAAAGGGGCATGTTAACGTTTACAAATAAAGTAAGAGTGAAACGCAGTTCTTCTGGATTCTTCACTGCCCCAAGCTCCCAGTGTACTCAGCACTGCTGAGGGATGCATGCCTGCTGGACATGAAGAACGTGAGCTTGTGTCATTACTGACAGTTCTTAGCTTTCATTAGGTTTTGCTGTTTGTGTGCACTCTGCAATGTGTTGACAAATGTGTACTGGCAGGAACCTACCGTGCCGCATCTACAGAACGCCCCTCCTATCCCCACCCCGACAGTCTCCAGCAGCTACTCATCTCCTTCCCATCTCCACAGCTTGTCCTTTTCCAGAGCGTCATGGGGTGGCAATGGTGTTCGAGCAACAGTGTCTTTTTATGGTCTGTTAGTATTTTTCTTTTTACTGATGAATCATATCTCGTTTTGTGGATCTATCAGTTTGTCTAATTTGGGGATTTTTGTTGTTGTTGTTTTGCTTCAAAACAGTCTCACTATGTAGCCAAAGCTATCCTTGCATTTGCAACCCTCCTGCCTCAGCCTTCTGAGCTCTGGGATTACAAGCATGTGCCACCATATCCTGTTTTGTTTTGCTTTGTTTTTAAATAAAAGAAACAATAATTAAAATCAAAAACCCAAAAAAAACACAAAATTCTGCAGTTGGGCTTGGTGGTTCATACCTGGAATCACAGTACTTGGGAAGCTGAAACACAGTCAAGGTTCTATAGCCTAGGTTATACAGCAAGACACTCAATCAATCAATCAATCTGGAAAGCCACTTAGAGAAGGGAGACAAATCTTTAGAAGAGTAGAATGCTGGTTCTGGGTTCTGGGCCAGTTTGGTGAGCTGCAGAGTGAGGGAAGCTTGCAGAGAGCAGGAAGCTCCCAGAGAAGGGCAGTCCTGTGTTTAGCCAGAGTAAGCAATTAATGTGAGCCCTAGGTCTGGACTCTCTGAAGGGAAGGTTTGGGGGCGTGACAGGTGCTGGACCTCCTGAGAGTTGATCCCGCTCTCCGCTCTCCGTTGCCCTGTGCCTTCAAGACTTCCTGCTGGACTAAAAGGAGACACACAACTACCCCATTTCTACAGCTCCCTGACAGGCACAGTTAGGAAAGGCTGGCCACAGAGCCATCCTTTTATAAACACACTGAACAATTTTCCCAGGGGACCAAGAACTTGAAGTTTAGCATATTCTTTGCCAAACTGCCAGTCTGCTTGGTTATTGGGAATCAATTCACCAGTTGATGACATCTGTCTGGTACCACTTGTGATAGTTTATATATGCTCGGCACAGGGAGTGGCACTATTAGAAAGTGTAGCCTTGTTGGAGTGTGTCACTGTGGGTGTGGGCTTTAACACCCTCATCCTAGGTACCTGGAAGCCAGTATTTTGCTAGCAGCCTTCAGATGAAGATGTAGAACTCTCAGCATCTCCTGCATCATGCCTGCCTGGATGCTGCCATGGTCCTGCCTTGATAATAGACTGAACTTCTGAACCTGTAAGCAAGCCCCAATTAAATGTTGCCCTTGTAAGAGTTGTCCTCGACATGGTGTCTGTTCACAGCAGTAAAACCCTAAGACATCACTGAACATCTAAGTGAACATCCATTCTAAAACCCTGACATCATAGCTGGATGAGGCTTAAAAAGCCACCTGGTCTACCCTATGACTGCCACTTGGGTCCTCCTTGGCAAATGCCCAATAAGTGATCTTTTGTCTTTCTGTCCCCCCAGGGCCAGGCAACCAGCCTTCATTTTGACAGTTCAAATGCTGAGGAAGATTTCCTGAAACTAAAGCCCTCCTCCCTGTAGGGTGCTGCTTCTCTACCAAGCCTTTTCCACGAGCAGCTGCATGGGCATTTATAACCCTTGTTCTGGCACTGTACAAGTCAGCTGAAACGCTGCTCTGCAGAGAATATATGCAGGCTTTCCAGTCTCCACTTGTGAACAACCCAATTTTTATGAGGTTAGTGTTGGGATCTATCATATCCCAGGTTCTTTGAATTTCCTTCTGTCTTCACTCCAATTCTCCTTATCCCCAGTTGAGGATAATTAGCAGTAGTTTTGTAATGTTAAAGATGTAAGTTGAGAGCCGGGCGGAGGTGGCGCACGCCTTTAATCCCAGCACTTGGGAGGCAGAGGCAGGTGGATTTCTGAGTTTGAGAGTTCGAGGCTAGCCTGGTCTACAGATTGAGTTCCAGGACAGCCAGGGCTACACTGAGAAACTCTGTCTCGAAAAAAAAACAAAACAACAACAACAAAAAAGGAAGAATACTTGAGTAGCACGCACGAGCCCTGGGTTCAATCTCCAGCACTGCATAAACCAGCCAGGAACGATGGCACATGCCTCTATATCCAGCATTTGGAAGATAGAGGCAGGAGACTCAGAAGTTCAAAGTCAACCTCTACCATGCTACGAGTCTGATGACACTAGGCTACATGGAACTGTCTCTCAAAAAGAAAAAAAAAAGCAATAGAGACTATTTTCATACTAAATCTGTCAGTGCTGCAAGCACTTTTTGTACCTCCCTACAAAGTTCTGGAGCCCACTGCAAATGGAGACCAGGACAGAGCAAGGACCACCCACCCTCCAGTGTCCCCACTTCCCTTGTATTGACACGTCCAGAGGCAGCTCTCTCGCTGATACTTTCCATTTATTACTGCAGTAGACAATCCCCTCAAAGTGCAACACTGCCACACACTGCCACAGCCCCTGTTCCTTCCCCTCCCGCAACCCCCTGGAAATTCATTCTTAGGAGCACTGACAAGTTTTTCTCTGGGTGAAAAGGTACCCCATTGCCAGTGTCACAGGGAAAATACACAAATGTGAACAAAAGAACAAAGAGAAAGGCTCTTGAGAGGAGTGGGCCATGAAGGCAGAGGGACACCCATCACTCCCCTTGTCTAGCAGCAACCGATCGTGCTGGTCACACGGGCTCCGGCAGCCTCTACCTCCTGTTTGGAGAACAGATGATACCACAACCATAACTATGTGGTATCTTGGCCTACCAGAGGCCTGTGGAGTCAAAATAAATGGAGACTTCTCCAACTAGTTTGAAAAAAAGTGGGTGGTTTGGGCAAACTGAGTGTTCAATTTCCCCTTAAGCTGTTAGGCAGAGCACCTGGAAGAACACTGGGGTTAAGCTGCTGCCTGACAGTGAGAACCCCTCTAATGAGCACACTTTGGATGGAGGGGAAAAAAAAAACTCAACTGTCAAATACTATGACCAAGAGGATGGGGAAAGACAAGTAGCTCCAGAAAACACAAGAGATTCAAATATCTGAACAAATGAGATTAAAAAGGCAAACAAAACATTTAACTAGACCACTAAACCTGACATAGGCCTCACTCATAAACGCATTGTACACGTATACAAACACACACACACACACACACACACACACACACACACACACACACACA